GGCCGCCGTGAGGCCTGGCCCAGCCCCGTGGGCTGGGAGGGACCAGGGCTCAGACTGGGGAACGGGCCGCGGGTCGGAGGGGCGTGGGGCGGGCTGTCCCCATCGCGGGTCTTCCCAGGCCCCTGCCATGTGCGACCCGCCATGTGCGACCCGCCATGGGCGACCCGCCATGGGCGACCCGGGCTCTCCCACTGTGAGTGGTTCTTTTGCTTTTCCGAAGTTTCATTTATTTACCTCCCACGGGAGCGTGGGGCTGGCGTCCTGCTGCCGGGCCTGGCCCTCCCCACCCTGCCCTGTCTCTCTGTCCAGCCGGCTCCGGGAGGGAGCCTGCCAACTGAAGCCTATTTTTGCCTTAGGGTTTTAAATGACAATGATAAACAACAGTGATCAGCCCGGGAACGTTTTGTGTAATCGCAGATAGCGGGCGCTGGCTGTCACATGTTGAATATTTCCAAGAAACCGATTTCTGTTTTGCAAAGACTTCTGACCGGGAGACAGTGAATCACTTTGAAAGTTGCAGGGCCCCGTGGCACTCTCTCCTCCACCTTCCACACAGTTTGAGTCATCGCAGAGAAATCCGAGCCGGATTTTACCATCGAAGGAGAACAGATCCAAAGCGAATTTCCCCTTTTCTCAGAGGGCCTCGTGTTAGGCCTGCCGAGACTCCTCGCTTGCCAAGGATTCTGACAGGAGGGTTTGGGTCCCAGGCCTTCATTCGAAATCATTACCACTATTTATTAACATTCGTGACATTATAAATCGTAAGTACGTTAGTTCTTACGATTTTAGAGGACTTATCAGAAATCCAGAAACAGTCGTCATTCTGGGATGTGAGATTACAGACGATTTTGTTCCTAGCATGTATTTACGTCTGTGTTTTCTGAGCCTTCCTGCCGTATGACAAGGGGGTACAACAGAGAGCAAAAATTACAATTTTTGGCCTCACGCAGCTTAGTCTCTAGGTGAGGAAACAGAATTTAGTCAAATAAACACATCGATGAATTTAGAATGATAGAAGGGCTCTAAAGATGGGGGTTGGGAGCTTCCCTAAAATAGTGAGCTTGAGCTAAGATGGGAAGGAAGAGAGAAAAGAGCTCGTGCAGGCAAAGGGGCCTGGGGATGGGGTGGTGGGGAGACTTCGAGACGGGGGCGCAGGACATGCCAAGGCCCTGTGGTAGAGGGGTGTCGTGCCGTCAAGAGCTTGCAAGTCAGTGTGGCTCAGCAGCACAGAACAGAGAGGGAGGGAAGCTGGGGAGGGAGGCTGGGGAGGTGGGCGGGGCTGGGCCATGTGGAGCGCTCGTCGGCCATGTTTAAGGAGCTTGATTTTTGTTCTAGCAGCAGAAAGAAGGCACTAAGAGTTCTGGAGAGCGATCAGATTTGTGTTTTTAAAAATTTGCTCTGTCTGGAGAGGACAAGAGACCCGTGGATTAGCGGGGGAAGGAAAGAGAGTAGGTATTTCTTTGCCACACAGCAGATGAAAGATGATGGTGACCTAGACCAGCATGTGAAGAGATTAGAGAAGTAAATACACTTGAGAGATATTTAGGTTGTAAAACTGACGAACTTGGTAATGGACAGGATGAGGAGAGGGGACATAAGAGAATTTCTATATTACCGTTGGAATAAAACAAACAAAAAAAATGATCTTTTTGAAAATGAAGCTTTTCGGAATTAAAAAAAAAAAGTTTTCGTAGGGAAATTTAACCAGGTCATAAAATGTTGAATTAGCACCACATAGCAGGCTGCAAATCCCTGGCCTGTTCTAAAGCAGACGGTGATACCAAAACTCCAGGTTACTGCTGGTGTCACCTCTACTAGGAATGTTTAGGGATTTTGAAGTTTTGCCAGGGCCTCTGTCGTAGACTTCTGTGGCTCCCCTGACCCATCCTCAGATTCGTTTACTCTGTCCCTCTTTATCAGGAGCAGAATTCGGGCAGGACCTACAGCTGCCCGAAATAAAGACTACGCCTCCCTATTGCCCTCGAGTTGGCACGGACAAATGACACGTCTCCGTCTCCTGCAGCATAGGCAAAGGTGTCCTGCGACAGCTTCCAGGAGCCTTGGTCTCTTTGTCCCTTCTTCCATTCTGCTCCTTGGAATGTGGGTGCCACCAGCTTGGACCGTGAGGCTGAGGCCTCATGGGACAGGGCAACAGGATGGAAGGAGCTTGGGTCCCCCGCCCTGCAGAATTCTGGCACCTGGCCACCTGCCTGGATTTAACATGAAATACTCCCCCATTCCATTTTCTGTCACTTGCAGCTGAACCTAATTCTCATTGATGTAACCATCAAATTTTGCCCGAGAGTCTGTTAGGACGGAGAACAGGAAGGAACTCTAACCCTTGAAGAATCTATGAACACGTTTTCATATACTACTATGGCCCACGTCGGATTTTAAATTTTGATCAAACAGCTCTCCATTGGAGGTGAACTGCCTAGACCCATGTCTTAAAGGAGAAAGCGTGAATCCTTGACCCGATGGGCAGGTATCAGTGGAGGTTTTCAGCAGAATGCATTTGCTTTTGTTTAAGTTCTGATTGAAAAGTTGCACGGGATCCGAGTGGTCTGCCCCAACCTTATTTTTCCCTTAAGCTCTGTTATTTTTAAGTGCCGCATGGTAGAATATGGGGTGCTTTAGGAACATATGTATCACATTAGAGTAGAAACGCCTGCATGTACCTTGGAAGGCACAAAATGAAGCTGCTAGCAAGGTGTGGTGTGTCTGCGAATTGCTGGATTGGAGGGAGGGAGGAAACGGAGCTCCAGGTCATCCCCATGCCAGGGTTAGATAAGGAAGCTGTGATTAACAGGTCCTGGCGGGGATCCAACTACAGCCCTCCCTGGGGAGGTGGCGGGTGGGGTGGAGAGGCATCCAGCTGGTTACAGGAGACTTCCCAAGTCCAATCCCAGTGCCCAAGCAGGCCAACCACACCCCACCAGGCCTGACACCTGACTGTCAGAACTCAAGTGTTCATGCCATGTGGGTAGAAGGAGGATGGAGAAAAAGTGGCTGACCCAAGTTAACCTTCTTGCTTCATAGGCCAATTCTGTGCTCTGCCACTCCGGAATCCAGCCCAAGATTCTGTCACATGCCCCCGAAGCAGGGAGGCTGCTGAACATACTCTGACACACCTGGTAAGTAAACTTGAGAAACACTGCAAGGTTCTTATGCTTTCTTACCAAGAGCAGAATTTGACCTTGCTTATCAGAATAAGCGGCATGTCTGTACAAAAGGGCATGTCTCTCGGGAATCACGGACAAAGAGCATGAAAGCCAGGGCTTTGTGAGGCTCCTCAGGGACCCAAGTGGCTTCTCTTGGTTACACATTACTCTGGGTAGACAACTCTTGTCTTTTTCTGACTGTGGTAAAAAACACATAACAAAATTGACCATTTTTAAGTGAACAGTTCGGCGACGTTGAGAAGATTCACGTCATGCAATCGATGCCCAGAACGTTCTCATCTTGCAGAACTAAGGCTCTGTACCCATCAAACAACCACCTGGCAAGCTCCATTCTGCTTTTTATTTCTATGAATTCGACCTAGGGAATGCGGAATCTGCCTTTTGATGACTGACATTTCACTTAGCATCCACGTTGTAGGCAAGGACATGGAGAGATTGGAAGGAACCATTATGCTTTTCTGGTGTCAGTGTGGAACGGTGCAGCTGCTGTGGAAAACGCGTTTGTTTCCTTGAAAAGTTAACCACAAAATTACTATATGACTATATTACTATAATTCTACGCCGGGACATATACCCCGAAGAATTAAAACAGGCAAACGAACACATGGGTGCGTATATTCAGAGTAGCACTAGTTACAATAGCCGGAAGGTGGAAAGAGCCCAAACGTCCATCAGCAGATGAAGGATAAACAAATCGTGACATATGCACACGATGGATTCTGCAGCTATTAAAAGGATAAAGTACTGATACCTGCTACACCGTCCTCCAAAGCATTATGCTAAGTGAAAGAAGCTAGGCATACAAAGGTCACGGCGTATGATTCTATCTATGGAGAAATCCAGAACAGAGACAGAAAGCACTTCGGTGGTTCACTGGCCGGGGCGGGGTGCGGGGTACCGGTGGGGTGGGGAGGGAGAGGGACTGCTTAATGAGTATAGGTTCTCCTTTAGAGGTGACATAAATGTTTTGGAACTAGATGGAGTTGGTGGTTATATAACATGGTGAATGTACTAAATGCCACTGAACTGTGTACTTTGAAAAGGTAATGTTATCTATGTGACTCTCACCTTAATAAAAGGAAGGAAATCAACACCGAAATACTCTGAAACGCCACGCAGCTGCACGTCTGCTTCTGACTCGGCGTTTCGTGACCTCGTGTTAATAGTGTTAAAAGATTAAGTTTCCAAAACAGGTAAAAATTATACCTTCTGTACAAATAAAAAAAAAAAAACGACGAGTGTGTTAAAGATTTTATTTAACTCGTTATCGAGGGGTCCAAGGCAGATGTTATAACTGATTCAAAAGCCAATCCGAAGAGCAGACACATCTGTAGCCCAGGGAGGTTGACGCGAGTTTACAAACGGATCTGAACTGGCTTCATGGGTGGGAGCGAAGTCAACCGAACCTCCCCAGATAGAGTTTGCTGGCATGTCAATAGACAAATATTTCTGCGTTAGCATCAGTCTATAATTTACAGAACTGGAAACTCGGAGGCAATGTGAGGGCCGAG